GAAAGAAGATGAGAAAGGTATGTTGAGATGGTTTGGACATACAGAGAGGATGAACGAAAGGAGTTAGACGAAACAAGTATACAAGATGAGTGTGGATGGGAGAGTTGGAAGGGGTCGACCTCAGCGAATGTACCTCAATCAGATTGAGGATGTTTTTAGCAAAGGCCAGCTTAGGAGTACCCTAATTAAGTTAATAACAATGTACCTACCTATATAGTTTAAGTTTAAAAAAATTGGCTCTCCAAAGAAATTTCAATCGTTGAACTGTTGATATTTGGCTCTGTTGACTAATGAGTTTGCCAACCACTGGGCTATACCATAGAGCGTAGGTGTGTAGTAGGCTGGACCACCTAGGTTTGTGTAAATGCACTCTGTGATGTTCACGCCACAAAGAAATCGCCTGAAGACAAATTTCTCAGCATCTATTGCCATTATTAAATGGCACAAATTTCTCAGCATCTATTGCCATTATTAAATGGCAGTATTTTTAACTACCCAGACTTTACACTTCATAATACCTAGAATAAGAAAGGTTTGTATTGATGGTTTATTGTATTGTTTCAGAACAATGAAATGATGGAGCTACAGAGAATACGGATGAAGGATGAAATTCGAGAATATAAATTCCGAGAGGCCCGGCTCCTTCAGGACTATACTGAGCTGGAAGAAGAAAATATCACGTTGCAGAAACTTGTGTCCACATTAAAACAGAACCAGGTAAGATTTAAGAAGTTATTTGGTTACACTCCAGATGGACCACGTCTTCGGACCATTAAGGTTAAGTCTTCTCTTTATTTCTTTGTTAGGAACCTGTCAAAATATGCCTTAATCTCCCTACAATATTTATGTGCTGAAATTCCCCAGCATTTCTATTTTAGCTAAGAAATTTCCCAATCCTTCTATTTTAGCTAAGATTTAGAAGGCAAACCTAGAAGTTGTATGATTTACAATAAAGTTCCATTGGGTAAGAAAAATTTCAGTTTTTTACTTTAGCTCGATGTTAACGTTTTTCAGGAGTAAATCATATGTATTATAATAACTTAACCTGACAACTTATTAAAAACCCGAACTATAAGCTTGTTTTGTATTACAAACTTAAGGTCTCCCAGCAATCCTCTCTCTCTTCTCTCTCTCTCTCTCTCTCTCTCTCTCTCGCTCGCTGAAAATTACATTTGCATTATATAAGGAAATGGCTTAAGAAATATAAAGCAGTAAGAACAAAATTATAAGAAAAAGAAAATGCCTGATTTCTTTTTTTAGCTGTAACCTGACTAAACAGATTGCATGTGTATGTTTAAATAAATTTTTTTTGGTAGTGAGGCTTAGCTTAATTGTTTAATTTCCGTTATTAGTTATAGCATTCTTGAACCTGTAATTTTAGAAGAATTTATTTATGAATACAATTTTATCAAGTAATTAAGCGAAGCTGGATTGTATATTCAAGATCTTTTCAAGGTGCTTCTTCAGCCACAACCTCTACTCTGATCTAAATGCTATTGTAACTTCTCAGTTCAGGTCAACACACTAGGTACCAGGCGCTGTGCTAGGCTAGAAAGATATGAAATCCATAGGATAGCATCCTTGCCCTCAGTAGACGTAAAGGCCAGCACAGATGTATGCTTCTACTTCTACTCAAGTTGGTAGCTCGATCCCAAACTATTATTGCTTTTGATAGATACAGGGGTTAAGAGAAGAAAGGAAATATCCAGAAGGAAAAAAAAATCCAGGTATTGATACAATTGAAATTTGATTTCTGATCATTGCCATTTCCCCCATTTTTGGAATGTGGGGGAACAAGATGTCTTCTAAGGAGTGCGGGGATGACTTCAGACCATGAAAAAAGGGTTACCAGGATGTCACCATGTGATCTTACCTCATTCCCTCCTCTTTAAGCCTGAATCACTGTGTGTACGCGCAGAGGGCTCTCAATACCATGGACATTCCAGCTCTTGATTTGACTGGGGTCATTGAACTCACAGTGGAGAAAATTATACTTCAAAGAATTTTTTAGAAACTATGCTTCTCATGAACTTCTTAAAATAAGAAGGGTATTTTTTGTGGTCTGTGTTTTTTTTTGTTTGGTGGGGGTTTTTTTGGTCGCTCATGAAGTATGTAAAGGCCTTGAAGCAAATATACTTGAAGTGCAAATATTTAAAGCGGTCATTATTTGTGATTCCTAAAAGTCCTCAGTGCTCTCTGCACAGGCAGGAGTGCGCCCAGAGCCTCGCTGTGGAACCTCCCATCACTGCATGTGGCAGACTCATTTACTCAGGAGGTTAATTTAGGCCAGTATTACGTATTCTTGAAAGTCTGCCAAGGTATCCTGTGAGTCCTCATTAACCCAGATGCCGTTTCGGTGGGAGTGTGTACGAGCAGTCTGGCAGATTACTGTTTACAGTTTACCCGTGCCCTTCCACCGGTAATTGAAACGTGGGAATCGAATGCTTAACTCAGAAGTTTGAAGAAAAAAAAGCAAATAGGAAAATATATACATTTCTTTAATTTTATTTTCTAGATGCAATATGACAATTTCCTAATTAAGTGTCTAGTTCATTAATTTGAAATAATTTCCCTTACAAAGGGCCATTCTGGCTTATTCCCTAACAAAGGGGTACACTGTCATGTCACAGTCTCTTCCAATTAAGGAAATGCTGGTTTGGTTTTTGTCTCCTACTGTTGGCCTTTATTTATAGGAGTTAGCATCTATTATAAAATCCCTATATAATTAACGAAATATTAAGTATAATAATTTATGCCACAGATTTTTTTTCCAAACAGATGATGATGGTTGACTTTCAATTTCAAAATTGGTCTGATTGTTGCTTTGAACTGAAGCTCTCTATACAAAATATACTCCCCAGCCTGGTTTGATATTTCTCTCAGCAGAAAGCTGTTAGCTTTGTACAAGACTTAGTTGAAAGAACTCGAAGATTCTTTCCTTCTGAAGTTCCATTTTCCTTATTGGTTATTTTCTTTAAAAATGTTGTTTAAATAGCACTTTTTATTTCCTTTATAGTTTCTATGTATTGGTTTGTTTATTTTCCATCTCCCTCCACTAAGATGTAGCACCTCACCTAGAATAGAGCCTGGCCTATGGAAGGCATTAAATAAATACCTGCTGAAGGAAATAATAAATTGTTCTTAAATTTCTGTTTCATTCACTCTTCAACTGAGAGAGGAAATTATAATTCACCAAACCAATTTTTATATGTGCTCCTAAATATGAAATATATGGAACATCATCAATGAGTTGACTGCAAACTTGAGCCACATCCCTCCGTGTGCTAATTTGGTTCTGTGTCCAAAATGAAATCATGCTGAATGCATTTTCCACCTTTATGCTTTTTAGAACAAAGCGAAGCATAGGAAAAGCAGCAGTGATAAAGAGCGGTCAAGGCAACTGTCAAAAAAATCCACTGATGAAGCAAAGCTGTTTACTAAACCTCTTGCAAAAGAAACCGCCTCGACAAAACCTTAGTAATGTCTCAAAATGGGAGCGTTAGGGAAGAGTGTTCATAGGATTTTAGGATCTGGACTGGGTTTTGCCAGGTGGCAAACTGGTTGGGATAGACCGAGTTTATGACATAATAGCTTTGAGTTGGAAAGTACAACAGAGTGAGCATCTTGACGTGAGTCTTGAGGAAGCTGTGTTAGTTGGGTCTCATCTTCCAGGAGCGAGTCGTCCCTGTAAGCAGCTAAGTTTTTTATGCCTCGTCCTATTATTGGTAGCAGGGACGAGGGATAGGAAAATTTGCCTGGTTGCAGTATTAAACAATTACTTAACAGAGGGCAGGAAATTATGTTGATTTTAATTTTTAGAGATGTGATGGTGAGAGGAGGGGGAAATAATAAATTCCATTTCCCTAATATCTCACATATTGAACTAAAGCACTCAAATATGTGTTATCTACTTGTTAAAATTAATAATTCAATTTATGTCTATTATGAAAAACATTTCCTCCAGGGATATATTTCTATATCAGGCAATAATATCATAAGAGACCTAGGGAACTGTTATCAATTCAGTTTGATTTCATTGAACCAGTATTTCCAGGGTATTTTTCTATAAAGCCATATACTTCTTTTAAGGACAAAGACATGGTCACTGGCTCAAAGAACGTATAGTCCCAGTAAGGAAGGCAGGTCATAAACTCAGCCATCCATGTAGTTGCATATTAAAGCTATGTGTTAGGTTTGGCAATACAGGGCCACATTAAGATCTTTAGAGTTTCGGACTTTGAAAAAGTTATGGTACCTATTCCCCAACCCCATGTAGTCAAAAATAAAAAGAGCTTGCTATAAGGAATCCCAACAAAATACTGATTTTTTTTTCTGTTGGTAACTACTTTGATGCTGTTTTTAAAATATTGGACACCAATTCTTAAGTGCCTTCTCATCCTGTTTCTTGGTTGATACAGTTTGCTGGGGCTCTAATTATCTGAGGCCTCCTTGCAATGATGGCACCATGAAGGAGTGAGCTGTTAGCCTGAGTGGGTCAACAAAGACTGGAGTTAGGATTAGATTCCTGATTTGGGTCTTAAAGGATAAATAAGAGTTTTCCAGATGTTAGCCTTTGCCTAAGCAGAGAAAGACAAAAATATCTGGTTGAATATTAGGAGCTTGAACCAGTGAGTGGAGTGAGTGAAGCTGCCCAAATAGAAAGAGATCAGGTGTCATAGGAAGTCTACCATCAATTGAATACAAATCGCAGAATTAAAAAATCTACAAAACACACTAAATTTATGTCATCAAGGCCAGGAGTCGACAAACTTTTTTTTTAAGGGCCAGATAGTAAATATGTTAGGTTTTGCAGGCAATACAGTCTCTCTTGCAACCACTGCACTTTGTTGTTGTAGCATGAAAAGCAGCCATAGACAAATATAAACAAAAGAGTGTGACTGTGTTTCAGTAAAACTTTATTTACAAAAATACATGGTGGGCTGGATTTGGTCCAGAAGGCACAGTAATGTTTGAAAAACCCTGGTCTAGGTTATCAGTTTAATAGGGATTAAAGAATAGAAAGGTCTGTAATGCAAACTAATGTCTGCAAATGTAAGCTGTTATACAATCTGGGGCAGTCAGAGGATTGGTTGAAATATTAACTAAGGTGTCCTGAATTGTCCAGGGAAAGAAAAGGAGAAGGTCAGGATGAAGACAACTTCATAGTATATAAGTAGCCTTGGAAGAAAACACGATACAACATGCTGTTATTCTAAGCAATTTCCATGACTTAATTCTTACAAATAATATTATTATGGACCTGTGAAATTTCAGTGACCCTGTGTAGCAGTAAGTGTTGGTTGTCCATCAGTATCCATTGTTCCCTTCTCCCAATGTTGTATCCAGTTTTTAACTGGGCACTAGTCTACCCAGAGTAAAAAGTACATTCTTCACCTCTCTTGCAACCAAGTGTCATATGACTAGTACTGGCCAGTGGGATATGGAGAGAAGTGATATGGACAACCTTTGAGACAGGTCCTTAAAGGGAGAAGGTATGCCCCTTACCTTGTCCCACTGCTTGGAACATAATCAAGATGGCAAGCCACCTTGGACCATCTGGACCAAAATGAGAGGTAGTGCAATAAGATAGAAGGAGCCTGGTTCCTGGATGACCTCATGGAGCAGAGATTTCTACTGATCCTTGATTTACTATTTCCATAAGGGAAACAAACTCCTATCTCAACTAATCGCTCTTATTTAGGTCTCCGTTACACCAGCCAAACCTACAGCCTAACTAAAACTATATTGAAAACTGTTATCCTAACCTTTGCAAGACAAGCCATTGCATTGAGATTATGTGAAGAAGGATGGTGGGGTGGGGGAGAATTAGAAATGTATGAAGGTGATAATGGTCTATGATCCCTATTTTTTAGTCTTTAAAAGCTTTTTTAAAATACAAGTTTAAACTAATATAAACAAAAGTAAATTTAAAACTAAACACATAAGTAATGTTAGTACCTCATATCATAATGACTTTATTATATTACTTTTTCTACTCAATTTTTTTATCCACAATAGTTTATTCAGCAAATACTTATTGCAGAGCAGAATTCTGTTAAAAACACTATAAAGAAACATTGAAGCATTAGGAAGGACACCTAGGTGCATAAAAAGTCTTTCACCTTTCTGAGGGGATTACAAGGTGGTTGTGCAAATAAAATATTTATTGAAAAGTGCCTGTGATAAGTGCCATGGAAAAGGCCCCAAGGAAGGCATGTTGGTTTAGAGTAGAAATCTTTTCCCTCTGCGCTTTCATGACCAAGAGGGTGTTCGAGCAAGCTCTTATTTGATATAATTCAAGAGAATATTACATTGATAACAATACTATATATATTATTGCATGATAGGTATTCCAGATTCTATCCTTAAGCACATAAAATTTTTCTTTGCTTCCTATCTTACCCTTAAACATTTTTATTGAGATTATGTTTTTATTGTGATCTTTTAACTAATTTATCTCTGGGTATAAAAATTACTTTATTATTAATAATTAAAGAAAACCAAGTAATAGTGATGATGAAATCTTGGTTGTGAATAGTCTCATAAACAATTACGAAAGAAAAAAATCCTCATTTTATTAGGCCAGCAGTGCCCCTTTTGACCATTGGACCCCATAAAAGAAATCCTTAGACAAAATACATTTTCATCTCTGCTAAGAACTGAATTTATATTGATATGTAATTTCTAAAGAAACCATCCTATGTTACCGTAAGGGTATATTTACTGTGTTCTTTATAGATTTATTTTGTAGACGAATGTTTTGATTTTTTTTTTAATGATTAGGTCCACTAGAGTGTCTAATGGCAGTTTTGTAAGACGCAAATTTTAGTTTTATGAATCTTCTCTGTCCTATCTAATTCAGGTTGAATACGAAGGCTTAAAGCATGAGATTAAGCGATTTGAAGAGGAGACGGTGCTGCTGAACAGCCAGCTGGAAGATGCCATCCGGTTGAAAGAGATCTCTGAGCACCAACTGGAAGAAGCCCTGGAGACCTTGAAAAACGAAAGGGAGCAAAAGAACAACCTGCGGAAGGAGCTGTCCCAGTACATCACCCTCAATGACAACCATATCAGCATCTCCGTAGATGGGCTCAAGTTTGCGGAGGACGGGAGCGAACCGAACAACGATGACAAAATGAACGGCCACATCCACGGGCCTCTGGTGAAACTGAACGGAGACTACCGGACTCCCACTTTGAGGAAGGGAGAGTCTCTGCACCCGGTGTCTGACTTATTCAGTGAGCTGAACATTTCAGAAATACAGAAATTGAAGCAGCAACTTATGCAGGTAAGAATTTTGTTGAGGGCCATTAGAATGAATTTCTTATAGATTGCATAGCATGTTGTGGGATTTCTTAACCTTACATTTTAGTTCCAGATTATTTTTTAAAATATTGCTTCTTTAATTAGCAACTTTGAAAGTGCAGTATTTTATAAAAACACAACAGAAGAAGTGTTGAGACATCTCATTTGCATTGCTTTAAGAAATTTTTAGAGCCACAGATCAGATTGCAGCCAGGAGGCAGCTCGATGCACATCTGACAAAAGAATTCAAAGACTTTCTATACAAGTAAAATGACAGAAAATTATCCTTTCCATCTTAAGCAATTGTATATTGTCAGCATAAGAAACATTCTTATGAGTTTATTCTTGTGAGTTTATTTGAGCCAAACTGCCGACAGCTGCTGGGAAGCGAAATCTCAATGGATTGAGCTAATGCTCCAGAGAATGCCAGTTTTGCACCGTATTGTATACATTATAATAAAAAGAGGAGATATAAGTAAGTTACATGAAATCCATTGGTGATAGTTTAGGGAAGTGGGAAAAAGCAAAGCGGGAAACTCTGGGATTAGATGAAAAATAAAATGATAGGCACATACATGTTTTACTTAAGTGGGTACACAGAATAGTTACCAGTCAACAATTAACTCAATAACAATGAGGGGATTTGTGGTCTCCGCAGAGTGGTGCCTGTGTTTTGAGGGGTCCAGAAAAAGGAAAATTACTTTGACATTCCAAGGATATGTTATTGTAGATGCAAGAAGACACAATAGACAGGCTCAGTTAAGGTAAAGATTGACTTTTGTCAGGGCAGATGCTGGCCTAGGACATGATTACCTGCCAAGAACTGCTTTTAGTTAAAAAGTTTTCATTTCAGACCATCCTTTGTGGTTACTTTAGGTCTCTGAGTTTGTAAGGCCGCCTTGCAGGCCTCCCCTGAGTTTATCAGGTTAGCATGTGGCCTCTTTTAATCTATAATATATAGCTTCAAGAATAGTGGTTGTAGCCCTAACTGGTTTGGCTCAGTGAATAGAGTGTCGGCCTGCAGACTGAAAGGTCCCAGGTTCGATTCCGGTCAAGGGCATGTACCTTGGTTGCGGCCACACCCCCAGTAGGAGACGTGCAGGAGGCAGCTGATCAATGTTTCTCTCCCATCAATGTTTCTAACTCTCCATCCCTCTCCCTTCCTCTCTGTAAAAAAATTAATAAAATATATTTTTTTAAAAAGAAAAAGAATAGTGTTTGTAGACCTAGCCAGTTTTGCTCAGTGGATAGAGCGTCGACCTGCAGACTTAAGGGTTCCGGGTTTGATTCCGGTCAAGGGCACATGCCTGGGTTGCAGGCTCATTCCGACATGCAAGAGGCAGCCAATCAATGATTCCCTCTCATCATTGATGTTTCTATCTCTCTCTTCCTCACCCTTCCTCTCTGAAATCAATAAAAATATATTAGAGAAAAAAGAATAGTGGTTATATTTCACAGTAATACTTTAAGCTTTGGGCTTTCTATGTGCTAACTAGCCAGGAAACCATATGATTAAAAATGCAGAACAGGTATAAATCTAAAACCAAGGAGTTCTGATCCCAACATAAGCTAGGCCTTAAATTTTAACATATTCAAATCAGATGTCTTGTGTAGAGTCCCGTGTCCAAGCTAATCTCATTGTAAAATGGCCTACTTTGAGTCTTGCCTATATGCTATACCTTAATCCAGTGCTGATGGAAATCTTATCTGGGAAACATCACCACCATCACCATCACCTAGGGGCTTAGCACTACAAATTGTTGGGCTCCACACAGATCTACTGAACCAAGAATCTGGTTTAACATATAGCTGCTAATTAGAGGCTGTTAAGACTCCAGCAATCATTTATTTGTATAGTAAACAGCACTTATAATTTTCTACCTCTACAGAAATGATGAATAAAGAATGAAATTAGCAGAAATAAATAAGATGCTAGAGTACAAATAAAGTTAATTTATTATAAAGCTTACTTTTAATACTACATCGATTGAACATATCCTGCACTTCACTTGCTCAGTGCTTTGGGCTGCTAAAAGAGAATGTTTTCACAACGTTTCATTTGAATCAAGAAAAGAAGGCATAGCCACTGGATGGAATAAAATGAATTTCATATAGACTTTTACCTGACTGCAAAGTCCACTTCTTTGCAGGTAATACTTTCCCATGTCTTGCTGCTAAATGTACACTAATACAAGTAGGTTGATATTGAAGGGGAGGGGGAATTTCTGCTCCTTTCCTTCTTAGTTTTTCTGACTGGCCTACCTAAGAATTAAACTGACAAGAGAGAGCCCTGGCCAGTGTTGCTCAGTTGGCTGAAGCATCATCCTGTACACTGAAAGGTCACAGGTTCGATTCCTGGATCAGGACACACATCTAGGTTGCAGGTTCGGTCCCTGTTGGGGTGTGTAGGAGAGGCAGCCAATTGATGTTTCTCTCTCACATAGATGTTCTCTCTCTCCCTTCCTCTCTCTAAATTCAATATTCTCAGGTGAGGATTTTTTTAAAAATTGCCACGAGAGAGATTAATAGGAGAAAATAGCCAAGTTTATTACATGTGTACATATGGGGGTTCCATAAGAATATGGGGCCAGAGGACAAATAGGGCAGTTCTGGGCTAAGGGAGGGGAGGCAGGGGACTGGGAGGTCAAAGGGAAGGTAGGCAATTCACAGGTAGGTGAGAACAAGGGAGCATTTGGGTAAACAAATTCTAACTGGGCCACAACAATGGAACACAGAGGGTGGGCTGCCAAACAGGCTTTGCTCGGTTCCTCCCTGTCTGCCACACTTGGTTCATATTAAGTTAAGGTGATAGCTCCCTTCCTGGGTTCCTTTTGGCAGGTAAGAAGAAGGAAAAAGGCTCTTCTGGAGTCTTTTGTTTCTTAAAAACAACCAGCTTAAAATAATCTACATATGTATATATATATATATTTGGGGGGGGGGGTGGCAAATGCTGCTTCCCCCACCCCAGTGGGGTCAGGTGTGGCACTGGATGATCAAATAAAAACAGTTCTGTGGTGAAACGTGAGTTTTCACACCAAGAGGAAACAATGAGGACCCTAAGAGGTCTTGCCTCAGTCAGGTGCAATTTTGCTGCTCAGGGAATTTAGTTCTGTCTGAATGTTGCCACCAAGTGAAATAACAATAAAATTTTTACTTAAAGGATTTTGAGATTGTGGCTGCCATTCGTATAGCAATCGCTGTACTATTAGACAGCTCTCAATTTTGTGTATCTCAGTTTATAGCCTCAGCATACTTTGATGTGCGAGTTTTTATTTTCATAGTTCCCTTTTCCCTTAGGATCTCTTTTGGCCAGGGTCCAGAGCACTGCATTTGTGCCTTCACATTGAACACCTGCACTTGGTTAATGTTGACAGTTTGTGAAGCTGTCAAGGGGCACAGGCAGGGTTATAACACCCTATGCCAGGAATGTGCAGATTTTCTTCTTAAGGATTAAAGAAACCCTTTGGAAACAGGATACCCAGTCCAAAGCCTTTTCTTATCTTATAAGATTCCATCTATGCGCGCAAATGATGTTTTCCCACCCACGAGTATTTACTTAATCTGGTTCTGAAATGGGAAGAAAAAAAAAAATCTGTGTTTCTGCCTTGGGTATCAGGAATGTTGTTGGGTGAGTTGCTTCACGTCTCTGAGACACATGCATATAAAGAGAAAGGTGATAAATTAGCCCCATCACTAGTCTCTATGATGCCTCTGTTGGAATTAGGGGGGGAAAGAACAACAACAAAAAACCAGTCCCCTTCCTCAAGATGTCATACTGCCATCTGCTGGGAAAAGATAATATTAAAATCTAGGACAACTATCATTTAAATAGTGCCCCCTAGCATTGTATGGTGTACAATAGTGCCCCCTGCAGAGAATTACATTGAAGCCCTGGCGAGCATCCCAACCGAGCCTCCTTTGTAGAGCTGTTGTGAAGACTAAATGGATGGTAAATATGAAACCATGTATAAGTCACAATTTTTTTATAAGATTGTACTGGAACCGTCCATCAGTTTTAGAGGTGTCAAGAAGATTGCCACTTCCACTTTATATAAACAGTCAATATATAAAGCATAGAAAGTATAGGAAAGGGCAAAGGCTGGTAAGCCTATATCTATATATGGGGCTGTTTTTTTCCCCCAGAGAAAATCAGGGTGAACATTTCACTGAACTGTATTTCTTCTAGGGTATGCAATAAATTATAGGAATATTTTAAATTTAGCCAGTCATGCTGACTTTCACATAACACAAATCCATGTGAATTAAAACATATATATAAGAAAAATACATATAAGAAAACATTTTTAAAAGAACTTTAAATTTTATCTTTCAATTACAGTTTACATTCAATATTATTTTGTATTAGTTTCAGGTGTACTGCACAGTGGTTTGGCAATCATATACTCTACAGAGTGATCCCCCTGATATTTCCAGTGCCCACCTGGCACCATACATAGTTATTACAACATTATTGGCTATATTCCTTGTGCTTTATTTTACATACCCGTGATTATTTTGTAACTACCAATTTATACTTCTTAATCCCTTCACCTTTTTCTCCCAGTCCCCCAAGAAAACTTATTTTATTCATCTAAGAGTCCCTGTAAACTTGACAATAGACCTTGATAGTGAACAACTCAATTAGCATCATTCTTCATTCACTAAGAGACATTTTTCAGGGTATTATTGGATAAATTATTTTGGCTTTTTGGTGCTCTTTAGACTCAGTTATTTCCAATATATTACCATTGACATTTTCCAGTAGCAGTCAAATGCCTTAATTAGTTTTATTAGAATGAAAAGAAGTAGATGCTGTCTGGGAAAACTAAATTACCTAATCTATTTAAAGGAGTCTCTATGCTTCTGCTAAAATTTTTACTTTTGATAAACAGCCTCTTTTTAACTTCACAATACCAGATATCAAGCTACCAGTATATTACAAAGCCATGGTTCTCAAAACTGCCTGGTACTGGCACAAGAACA